CTGTTAAATTAATTATAAATCTAGCTCAACTTAGAAGTGAAGTAACCTTGAGACCACACCCTTTGCCCCAGGGTAAAACCCCGTGCAAATTTTAATTTTCGACATATTCTGACCCTTGTATGTAAGTCTGGTAAATATCTTTCAGGTTTTTGTGGAGAAAAAGATTTTCTAGCAACCAGTACTTTTTTTCATGATTATATCCCCTTGTTTAAGGGTCGCAACCCTTCATTTAGTATAAATGGGAGCCATACTGGCCAACAAAACCATGTGACAAATTTGACACTGATTTGCCAAGGGGATTTTGAATGATGGACTTTATTCTAAAAAGATTACAAACAATGCACACCGCACAAATGGCCATAACATTAGCTCTTTGAGCATTTGGCTCAGAAGAGCTAAAACTACAATATGGTATTTTCACAGATATACATAGTATTTTAACGTTCTCACCAAAATTCATTCCAGATTTATACACTCATACATGTATATTATCTGATTCATGTGAAAAACAGCTTAAATAAAATACCTGCTCAATGTATTTAAAGTATAATTACGTGTTACTTTGCGTCTAAAAACTAAAGGTACTGTGAGCAATGAGCTCACTAAATGATATCCCATGCTTCCCATATGGTTATAATGGCAAAGTCCATGTTTTGCTGTGACCGGGAAACCCAAAATATGTGTCGGATCAAAAAGTAATATAGAAGGTGCACATTGGCAATATGTGCTAAAGATTATATGAAAGTTTCATTAAATTTCACTCAATGGTATAACAGGAGTTGTGGATAAGAGATGGGTACCCCAAGCGTAACAGACAGACGGACGGACGTACAGCTAGATGGACGTACAGACGGACCGACATACCGATTACATTATACCCTATCAATTTTCAAACGGTCGGTATAAAAATAGAGCTCCCTGCATGGGGCTGTAGGGCTTATTGTTATGTATTGCTATACAGGGAGCTCAGTCAGGACCCCATCCTTGGCAGTTGCTCTACATATCAGCTGTTCATTGCTATAAGTCTGTGAAATAAGTGTTGTGGAAATTGATTTATTTTTAAAGCAACTTTTTCACAAAATTTATCATACTGCACAAAATCTATTTCTTATTAAAACGTGCTTTTACCATTCTTTAAATTTAATAGACATGTACATGTAGCTGGGTGTCTAAATCTATAGGTTGTGACGCGATGATAAAATCGTGTTCCCAAGGAGCGGTCATAAAGATATAAAACATAATGTCTAAAAATTAAAACATGCAACATTGTAATTTAAATACGCCAATTAAAAATATTAAAATCATTTCCTGATATCTGTATGTTGGTAGACCTCATAAGTGTCTGTCAATATTTTTAGGACTTCATTAAGACAGAAAGAATCTGCTTAATTTACAGAGTTTTAGATGTCCACTCGAGAAACCAGAAATCTTTGTTTCAATAAATTTATTATAAAAAAAATATAGTACATTGACAGAATTTAATTTTTGTCGTTTTTGACGTTTTCGGAGTATGAAGAGACCCATAAATTCATGATGACCATGAAAATGTTAAATGTTATATGCATAACTACTAAACAATTTTTTCACATTAATGAAATGAAATCCCCACAAAGTAAGATTTTTGTTCATCTAAACATGAAAATATGTGATTTATCAGCGTTACACGTCATATCTTATTATTAAAGCAAATCGTCATAATTAAGATAGGGTAAGACCAGAATTAGGGATTTATGGTGTCTTTCAGAATGATCCAACTATTTATAGATAAATGATGTCAGATATTTTAGGTACTCTTCTGATATCTGACAAAATTTAATGTTATTGCAGGTAATACCTCTTCGTTTATTTCTAAACTCTTTTCAACACTATAAGTATTTTGTAAAGAAGAGGCCAATTGGCCACACCGCTCACCTGAGCACTGTAGCTAGGGAATAAAGCTCAAACAATCCATTTTTGGATAGCTTAAAATGCATGTGGTCCCTACCTAATCCTAAAAGGTTGAAGGGGTTGGTGGGTTATGATTTGAATTAACTTGAATCAACACTTACTACTTATGCTTACATATTTTTTTACTTACTTTGGAATTTTCCTATATACGTTTGAACTTTCTTCTTGGATCCCCGCTACCCTCAAGGGTCATGATTTGTATATCACAAATGATTTCTTCAGAATAGTTAATTAGTGTTAGTATGCACCAATTTACTGGCTATGAGGACTAAAGCAAGTTTATCGTCCCCTAAGACAGCAAACTATTTCCCGAGGCGCAGCCGAGGGAAATAGTTTGCTGTCAAGGGAGACGATCAACTTGCTATTGTCCGAATAGTCTGTAAATAGGTGATTTATTATACCGATGCTGACTTTACATTTGTTACGTCATAATATGTACGTCACAATCCGTTTAAAATCAGGAAGTTTTCCGAGATCAAATACGAGGGAAACATAATGCTGCCGGGGAATAGTTTGATGACTATTTCACCATGGGCAGGTAGCACAAAAACTATTTCACGGTAGTGGCTGTTTGGAAAAAATAGCATGTTTATTCCCCTTTTTTATATAGAACAAATTCACAGAGGTATAATAAAGTGTTCTAATATAATCTGACAGGCAAGTGTTTGTAGGGCATACTAATCCCTATGCTTGTCTTATAACCTTATTGGAATAAACAAACGTTTATGGGATATAATGGTTACTATACATGTAATAAACCTGATATGAATATCACATGCACATGGTAAATGACTTTCTATATATACTGTAAAACGAGAAAAATTGGCGCAAACGTATTTTAACGCGAACGTAATTTGGAATATATAGGCGCAAATAAATTTACACGTTTGCAATTTTTTCATTAAAATATATAAATGTGATATTACATATATTTTTCTAAAACACGCCCGTATTGACTTTTTGTATAGTCAAGCACGGAAATTCAATCATAGCACATAGCATATATGTAAACAATCGTCATTTTTACCGTGGACGTGTTGCAATCACATACACGTGGAACAATGTTAACATTTATTCTAATTTTATTTTGAATAAAAGAAATTGATTATGCACGCATTTTATTCATATTGAAACAATGCATACATCGAGGGAAAGTTACTTGAATTAACGGTGATCATAATCAGGTATTGTCTGCAAGCTAAATCGCCATGCTTGATTGCGTTGTTAACCTCGCGGCGATAGATAATTGACATGCCGAGAATCCAAACTTTGAAGGTGCTAATGATAACTACACAATAAATTTTCGCGTTCAGGGGCTCCTGTGCCAAAGGAACTAAAATAAGTATTGCGCTAAATATTATCGTTTTACAGTATACTAGTATTCTGATATTGACACAATATAATCATTAGTGTGGACACGGAAACCTTTTCTTTGTTCTAGCTCTGCTCCATTACACTTGAAGAAATTTGAATCTACACTATCTGTGGATACTTCTGTATAAATATGACCAATCAGAGCTTTGTTGTTCTTGAGGAGAAGATTTATAAAGACTTTTTCTGTATATTCCTATGTAAAATTTTGATCGGCTATTTTGGGCCCACCCTACACCCGGTTGTTATATGTATGCTTTGAACAAAACTTTATAACACTACGTAAGGATACTTTCATATAAATATGACCAAGCAATGTTTTGATGTTGTCGAGTAGAAGATTTTGAAAGTTTTTTTCCTATGTAATCATATGTTAAAATTTGATTGGCCATCGTGGCCTCTACCCCCATCCAGAGGTCATGGAATGTATAAATTTGGATTAACACTACGTGATGATGATTTCACATTAGTTTCATCTTTTCGACCCAGTGGTTCTTAAGAAGATTTGTCAAACACGCCACAAAAGTTTTACTATTTGTCATCTCCCCTTTAAAGACGACGGGGCGCTTCATTTAAACAAACTTGAATCCCCTTTGTCCAAGAATGCTATGTGGCAAGTTTGTTTGAAACCTAGTGGTTCTGGAAAAGTTTTAAGTTGAAAATATCAAAAAATTACAAACAGACGGACTACAGACAAAATGTGATCAGAAAAACTCACTTGAGCTTTCAGCTCAATTGAGTTATAAAGTGCTGCAAACCTATAGATTGCTGAAATTATATTTGTTTGACTTGTTGAAAATTTTTTAACTACATTAGATATAGCGATGATAAATTAATGTGCAAGATTTTATGAGGTTCGCAGCATTTTTCAAATTTTTTAATGCTTCTTGGGTTTAAATTTCAAATTTGGCAAGAAACATTGAGGGTATGCCTTGGAATAAGTCGATATATTAGGAAAATTAGTATTACTTTTTCAATGAATCTGTATAGAAATACACGGCAAAATCACTTGTATTCAAAATATACGGAGAGTATATAGATATAATGGTTAATTAGATACTTAGATATTTTACTGCAAACTATATTTTATTTGATCACAAAAAGATATTTTTCATTGTACGAAATGTAACCTAATCAGCTTTTCAACTACGTCAACTTTTACGAGATGACATCATATTGATAAGAGTATTGTGATCCTACGAATCGTTTACATTTTGTTTTGTGGCCTTTTACAAACAACAAACAGAATTTATAATAATATGTAGTCTAAATCTATCCAGCAGTTTGAGATAACTAATGATTTCATTTTGGTGTATTTTGAACACCTTATATTTTTGTGTGACGTCATAGACTACGTTCCCGTGTTAATTGACAACGCCTCCTTACTTAAGTTTTAAAATTGTAATACACTTAAGATAGCATAATATTTTAAGCTTCAATGTGTAAAACAATACAAAAATCCAATGAACGCTTTGCCTTGCAGGAGATCGGTTTATCAAGATCGTAACATTGCCCTTAAATGTACTTGAAGAATTATATACGACAATTTATAACACACGAACATTCAATAGGAAAGACCTGAAATGATTATTTTTAATGATCTTTTGAAAGTGTATTGAAATTAATTTTTCATCATTTATTATATTGAACTATTTGTAGTTACTTTTAAATTATTATGTACCAACCTGTTATATTCATTCTATGTCTGTCTTTCCATCTCTTTAGAATGAAAAATGCCAATCCAATACAAAAAAGTATTGTAACCGCAACTAATCTAAAAGATTTAATGAATTAAAATTCAATGAACCCATTTATCTATACACACTGCAAAACGAAATAAAAGCGTGCAATGTCATAATTTAAAGTGTACTTACATGAAGACAGTGGTATGCACTTCTGAATTATCTTCAGGAACAAAAGTCACTGTTTTATTGGTTGATGGAATTGTTGATGTTAATTCGATTGATTTACAAGGATCGTCTACAATAGCAATACATTTTTATTCTTTATATTATTTTCATAATTTTTATTCTACATATTAAAAAGATAAAAATACAGACTGTAGGCGATGAAATTATTTCTACTTACATAGGTGGGCCTTTGAGGAGAGAAATCGGCCAGGGCACGAAGAGGATTGGCTACAATTTATGTTGTTATCTGTTTGAAGTTGTGTGTTATTATAAAACACACATACACCTGTTTCATATATTAAAGAAATGTGTTAGAGAAAAGTACTGAAAATTGCTATATGACAAAAATTTTTAAAGTTAGATTCAAATTTTTTTTGTTATCTTCAACATGATGAGGCTAGATTATGCAGGTATGTGAAGGCTACACCGAAAAAAAAATCCACTAAGTTATACAATATACAGACCCTGAGACGTGCTACTACCCCAAAAAAGCGTGTGGCTTTCGTGCGCTTTCCGTTTCGTGCAAACCGTGTAGCGTTTCGTGTAAACCGTGCAGCGTTTCGTGCAAACCGTGAAGCGTTTCGTGTAAACCGTGCAGCGTTTCGTGTAAGCTCCAAAGCGTTTCGTGCAAACCGTGTAGCGAGCGTGCAAAAAGCGTGCGAGAAACGTGCGACTTTCGTGTAAGAACCGTGTGAGAAACGTGCGACTTTCGTGCAAGAATCGTGTAAGATTCATTCGGAAGTCATTTCATTTTAAATATGGCTATCGATGGGTCAGGATGTAAAATTCTATTAGTATTTTATAATTGAATGTGTTATGCTTGTGATATTATAGGAGTAAAAACAAAAAAAAATGGAACAACAAAATTGAATTTAACGGTAATGTATGATTTATATTTGTTTGATTTCTTTTCCTTCTATAGAAAATGTGTTCAAATATATCAGCTATGTACAAAAATTTTAAGGGCATTGTATTCAATATACTACATGTATCAACGCGATCGTGGCTTTTTAAACATTTTTTTTTCAAAGAAAGAAAGAAATATCGGTAATATTCTTTTTTTTTTAATTTAAATCAAAAATATATATCAAGACTCAGCTCTTGTCTTTATATTTGAAACGATGTGTCATTTAATATCTTTTAATATATAAAACTTGTTGCTCATTATTGTAAAAAAAAAATGGATTTTATAATTTTAATTCACGTGCACTGACGACCATATCTTTATAAACGAGGGGGGGGGGTGTTAAATTAAATTACTAGACAGTTCAGTCTTTCATTTTTTGTTGTAGCTTTCAATCTAATGTTAGTTTAATTAAATGCTTTATTTTCTATTCTTGTTTAATTTCGTTGTTAATGTATGCGCAGATACACCCCTTATAAATGTATTGGAATCTTCTTTCCGCCTTTCAACTGTAATCAAGGTCATTTACAACAGCAATCACGGGCTCCGTGTGCATTGCAAATGAAAACCTGTTTTGATATATATATATACGAGGGTTTATCCAAAAGTTCATGGAATTTCTTTCTAAAATTTTATCGCGATTTGATGAAAGCAAACAACAGGCATATTCATAATAAAGAGTCATAATGCAACAATATTGGAAAATTTTACTACTTTTCAATTTTCAATGAAATCACACGAGCTTTTTGAAAATGGATAGTTGTGAAACCCGGGGGAGACTTCGACGTAACGTCAAATTAAATATGTCAGGTCACGTTATATAGATGCAACTCGCCCTAATGTCAAATTTGACTTCGTAACTCTGTTGTTCCAATGATGTTCCAATGATGATCCAATTTCAGTACAGCTATGTGAAGAACTGAAATGCAGCCTACAACGTCCATTAACGCTTTTAATTATTTAAAGGGGTTCTGCACCTAAAACAGTCTCCAAAAAGTCACCACACCTTTAGTCAACGTCCCTATTTTTCCAACAGTTCTATTTTCTTATATTTCTCATGTAACCGAAAAACCAATACAAACTAAATGCATTTTCCTCAAGTCTTTGTCTTTTATATTCACGTTTAAGATAGAGTGATCCCGTATTTTTTACAAAACGTATGACTTGAGCGAAATTTGACGTTGTCTAACGACTTAAAGATGAACAATAAATAATCAATTAATAAACTAAATATACAGTAAAATCAGTAAAACTTTGCAACAAAGGTTTATAAAAGACCAAGCAATCATAATAATGACAAAATTTTCGTTTTCTATAACACACAGGCCGGTTTCAATCTCATTTCACGTATTAAGAATTAAAATGAAAATGAACGTATTAATGTCTCCCCCGCATTACCAAACAACCGTTTCTATGGCAACTGCCATAGAGTTACTATCAAGAATATTTAAACTGTTTTTCAATTTATAATATTCATGAAGTGTCTATATTTTCCTTTGTAATTTTCAACGAATTCAACCTAAAAATGAATAAAATATGAAAAAAATCCACGAACTTTTGGATCAACCCTCGTACATGTTGCGTTCACGGCTAAATATGACACCTGGAAATAACGACTGGGGTTTTTTTTTTAAATAAAATGGTTCTTTAACTAAAGTATTTGATGGGTACAACTTTTAAATCAGCGGATTTTCATTTTTTATTTTTAAATCCAAATTTCTAGCCGTAAACAGTAAAATAAACAGAACTGATATGGTAGTCTTTATATGAATATCATGTAAGAAAAGCTCAGGAGTAAATCATGAATAATTTTAATATTATTTGTTTAATAAATCACATAGTTTTTATTTCATCTAAGGTATTTCAGTTTTCTTGTAATGTACCTGAATGCCGGTATAAAGATCGATCTATATTGTATGTACAATGTATTGACAAATACCGCAACTATTAATAAATGTAAACATACAAACATACTTTTAGTCCTGTTTTGAAATGAACGATTTTGCAGTATGATGGGTATACTGATGTAATTTGATAGGCTTCATGTAAAAAGAGAAAGAGAATAGAATAGATTAATATAGATCACATTACCCCCCCCCCCCTCTTACGCCCTTTACCGGTTTCCCTCCTATTGATAATGCTTGCGTAAAAAAAACTATAAAAATGTTTCAATAATCGTTAGTAGAGTATATAGGCAAATTTAATTTATAACTTAAAATCAAAATAAGAAAAAAAAATAATCCGCCTACGGAAATCAAACACATGCAATATAATCAATATTATTAAAAATCAATGAGTTTATATTCCTGCGGTGGGAAATCGAATTTGTGTTCAATTTATTAAATCAATCGTGACTCGTAAAAATATTACATTGAAATGAATGACTAATACCTGTATATAAAAATTGTATTTCATTAAACAGTCATTTACGATATCGGCATTTCGAACTGAAAATTATTTATCAGTTAATTACAACTGTCAGAGTATTGAATATTTCTATCGGCTTTTATAATACAAGTTTATTAAACTTAATTATAACAGCTGCTTAATTTGGTTTTCATTGAATTAATGATAAAGCAGTAAAAATGCCCGAGATATTCCGAAGAGAAAAATCCAAACCGAGGCCAAACCGTGCGAGAATCGTGCACAAAGCGTGTGAGAATTGTGTACAAAGCGTTTCGTGCAGCCTTTCGTGAAAACCGTGCAGCCTTTCGTGCAAAGCGTTTCGTGTAAACCGTGTAGCGTTTCGTGCAAACCGTGTAGCGTTTCGTGTAAACCGTGCAGCGTTTCGTGCAAACCGTGTAGCGTTCGTGTACCGTTCGTGCAGCGAGCGTGTGGGGTAGTAGCACGTCTCAGGGTCTGTAGCATCCAAGCATACTATATGAACATTAAATAAAGCTATTTATTTAAGTCTGTTTTTAAAAGTGATTTGGATGAAGTCTGTAAAATTTAATATAGACCAAAAAATAGTGGATTAAAGTTAATGGTCACGAGTGCCAAATACAAATGCCATTACATCATAATATTTGCAGAGTAAAAAATGAAACGTAATGACAATTCATATAAACATGCATATTAGAAGAGCTTAAAAGTATTTAAGTTCAGATGACAAAAAGAAAAGAATGTATGCCTGGATTGGTTCATATGTCTTGGCCTATTATTGCTTCCAAAAATTCTAAATTCTATTAATGAGTTTCTCAAATACAAATAAATTGTAAAACATCTCTGATGCTCAAAATTGTACTTTTAAACAACAGTCCTTATCGATCTCTACAAATGTTTTCAGTGTAAATCTATTTATTGTGAAACTCTATATGAAAAATTAAAAGCTACGCTCTCACACTCGTTCATTTATGCCTAGGTCACATTTCCCGGCCGGTAGCCGTAGACCGGTGGTAGTCGGTAGTGATCCGTGGTGTTAACGATGCCCCAACATCGGTCCACATCGGCCAAATAGTCTTTAAAGTATCAGTCACGTTATCCAGCAATGGGGTATACGATGGACAACCAATGCGTTTTATGAGAAAAATGGCGTGGTTGCGGGCCGGACTTACAAAGGCCCAGCGATGCATTGCTAATCATAAAACGATGTTCCAGGATAATCGGCCGATGTATATTACATCGCTTACACATTAGTGAACATTGTTCGTACATCGGTCGACTATGGGCCAATGTTTGGTCGAACATCGACCGATGATCAGTCGATATCTGTTGAACACCACAACGGACATTGGAACATACATCGGCCGATCCTTGAAAGATGTGTTAATGATGGGTTGCCGGTGAGGAGCAATGTGAGTCATCGTTGGAGACATCGCTGAATTTTAACTATGAATTATTTCCTACCGATGACGCAGCACAGTTAAGGTTACAAATGGAAATACCGGCGATTTCTTAAGATAAAAAATACATTCTTTATTAGGATGGGCGATTCTTTTTAGAAATTCACTGATATCAAAAATATGTAATGTGGTTTAAATCTACATGTTGGGGACATTTAGATTTTTTACTTAGACTTGTCGTCACATGATTTTGGCAATTATACTTGCATTTTAGAGGTCATCTATAAATTTCAATATTGCAAGGGCATAACCAAGTTAAAAATCTTATTTTATTTCCGTTTCAACACTATATGTAGTTTGTGAAAAGCGATGCGAATTCCTTTTTTAATTGGTAAAATTTAATTTGTTGGGCGGCAGGTTGAATATTTTGCTAGTCAACTACATTAAATATAGCTTTAATTAATTTATTTGCTAGATTTCAAGAGGTTCGCAGCACTTTTCTAATAGCTTAATATTTCTTGAGTTTATGTGCAAAATTTTGACAAGATACATTGAGGGTATGCTCTTGCAATAAATCGATTTATTAGGGTCCTTCCATTAC